CCAGGATATAGATGGTGTTATAGCCCAACGAGATGATCGGAATAATCAAGTATTGCAGTTGCAACAAGATGTCAATTATTTTAGACAGCAAAATGCTAATCTCCAGAATCAAGTTAATCAGCTTATTCAGGAGCGGGATACCTTGCAGAATCGCGTCAACCAACTTATACCAGAACGAGATACCTTGCAGAATCGCGTCAACCAACTTATATCAGAACGAGATACTTTGCGGAATCGTATCAATCAACTTGCTCGGGATCTTAATAACAGCCAACAAGGATATATTTTGCGAGGGCGTTTGTGGCATAATGCAAGTCTGATATGGAATGAACAGTCAAAACTCAAACGTACTCTCGAAATTATTTATAAGGTATCTATTTACCGGCTAATGCGGGAGTTGCAACAATGCCGGGCGGATAAAGGGTTATTAGAATATAATCGAGATCGGCTCTTTGATAGATATTACAATAAATTCAAGGATCGTAAGGCAAGTCATATCAAGTGGAAAAATAGAGAGCGTAATTCACAGCAATTAATTTTAAATTTACAAGCCCAAATTTTATTACTACAGAATAATCTACTTATAAATCCAAACATGGCGGCCGCCGATAGACAACATATTTATCAAACTATTCAAACAAGTCTTGCCCATATTCCATCATATATTGGGCAGGAACCACCAGATGATTATTGTAATAGGATTGAAACAGCCATCAGCTATACCGATACAATGATTGCTGATGCTAATACTGCAAATGTCAATACTTTTACTGATGCGCATAAGGCAGATATTTATAAATCGAAAATGGCGGGAAAGTATTTACCAGTTCCAGCTCAGCATGCAGGAAATAATATTGATACTCCAGCTCGCTTTAGAGCATGGCTTGGAGATACCTATCTACAAAGAACAATTGGTACTCGCCAGTCTGCTATCCAAAGATTATCTCAAGAAACATTTAAGACTGATGATAATCCAGAAACATACGAAGCTAGAATTCGTAATTATCTATTAGGTGTACCTGATAATGATGCTAATGCTTTGGGATTTCTCATGGCTCATTTACCTGATGAGCTTTTTATTCGAATGGAAAGAGTAAATCCTGCTAGTATCACAGCTTTCTTTACTTCACTTAAAGAATTATGGCTGAAGCGTCAACCATCACATAGAGACTTAATCACCAATCAAATTCCTCAAACCCCAGTCGTTAATATACAAAATAAATCGCATTCTAATAGTAGTGATATAACTCGAGCTGAAATAGATAATATGATAAAATCACAATTAGCTTTAGTGCCAACTACTTCTCTTCAGTCTACACAGCCTACTTCTTCTCGAAGACAAGAAGGACGATTATTACGACCCAGTCAAATGGAACCAGGTGAAATATATCGGGGACCTAATTTACGCTTGAATGACCCAGAATGGCTTCGAATGGATGAGGCGACAGATCGTCTTAGTGCTTTAGCAGGTCCATCTTATCTACAATCATTAATGGATACTATTAGTAAAGGAGTAATGGATAGAATTACGCCTTTCTTACCCAATAAGAAAAAAGATACCTCTAATGATGGTATGGATGAAATTACTAAGGGTATGGCAGAATTATCAATAAATAAGGCTATAGCAAAAGGTATTGAAGCAGGTGTTAATGCTGTTATTAAATCATCCAAGCACCGTTGTTCGAATTGTAATAGAACTGGACATAATTCTCGCAAGTGTACTCGTAAGAAAAGGATGAATCATTAATAAGATATCCGCTCACCATTATTTTCTATCACTAACTCACACCTCCTCTTCATAGAGTTGACCAAATTAATTAGAGTGTCTCTGGGAATTGAATTCCAATTCACTGAAATTTTTGGGCATACGTTTTTCAACGTTTGTTTTGATAATAACCCAGAAATTTTCAATGGGGTTTAAATCTGGGCTATTAGAAGGCCAGTCTATAAGTTGGGGAACATTCTCTTTAAAGAATGCCTTGACAATCCGACTAGTGTGCTTGGGGTCATTATCCTGTTGGAAGCGCCACGTATTTTCTTAATTTCAGGAAGGTGTTCCTCAATGATTTGAACATAAAATGAGGCATCCATTATTTGGGTAAAACAATATAAACTTGTCGTCCCTTTACTATTACTGCAAATCCACCCCAAGCAAAGATCTTCCTCCTATCCTTCGGCATAGGGCGAATGGGCCTTTTCCCCTTATACCAATGCTCTATGGTATTTCTAAACAATTGGAAGGCAGTTTCATCAGTGAATAATGTACTCTTCCAATTGTCGTTTAAGTGCCGTCTTGCCCATTCAACCCTCTTCTCCTTGTGTGCTGATGTAAGCATCGGCGTTGCAATTGGTAAGGCCTTTTTATAGTTGCGTTCCTTTAAATGTCTACTGACAGTTGAAGTAGAGACATCTATACCCTTTTGTGTCAATTTGTTCTCAATGATATTAAACTATACTCAAACTGCATCGAGGGTGAGTATTTTATATTTTCCATAAGACCTCAAGCTCGTATGCGTTATATGCTATATTCGGTGCTCACATGGGGTAAAAATTAGGCTGGAAACTTCGTATTTACGCGCTGGGTGTTGCTGGAAGACTCTTCCATCTGGTGCTCGTGGAAGAGGTGGCTCTACCGTCTTCACGCTGCGACTTGGTCAACCTGCGACACGCCTACCGCGTCATGCTAGCGTTCACCGACAAGTTAAACATGGCATGGCGAAGAGGCAGTTGGATGCGTTGAACCTGGAGCTTGAAATCGACATCGCAAATAACATTAACAACAAACACCCCTCGCCAAAAGATTCACAGAAACGAGGCGTCAGGAAAATTCTAGCAATCTCGCGTGAATGTATAAAGTGCAAATTGGCAATTCAGTATCTTCAACACTCTAGTCAGTCATTCACCAATCTTCGACAACATACAGGGGTTTGCAAAAAAAATCGGACTAAAAGTCTCTGACATTTGTACATGTGTAACTTGCCCAAAATAAATCCAA